ATACTTGCTTTTTGCTTTTTGTTGTTGCTATTTGCTGTTTTAATATTTTTTGAATGACAACCCGTAATAATAATTAGTACATCTAAGAAGAATAATAATAAATCCCTAAAGTAATTAAGCAAATGTGAAAGTACAACGTAACTAGTGCGATGAGAATTAATGTACAAACTTATACAACATACAATAAGCAATTATCTGCAAAGAAACGAGCCAGGTGGAGGGGGAACAAAATAACATACATTTTAAATTTGTATTCTTTTTTTTTTTTTTTCAACTTTTCGTTAATACGAAAATGAGATATTTGAACAAAGCATAACTGCAGACTTTTGAGGGCTTAGTGAAAAAATTATCTGTTGTGTATATAATCGCCTTATAGTTAAGGCTTTAGGATTTAGCAAATATCTCTTAACACTTTATTTCAATCGATTATCAAAGAAAGAAGTGGAATTCAACTTTAATATGTTGCCGAAGACTTGAAACGAAGTCTGAACCGTTTTTAGACTTGTTTCGTTTTAAAGGCTCTTTTAAGGCAAATGACTTTGCAATTGTTATCTGTCCCAAAGGAGATGAAAATGCGAACAATTTTATAAATAAAGCTTTAGGTGATATCGTTCCCGAATTTACTCAATTTAGCGGTATGTCCGCTGACTTAGATGCTCTACTACTGCAATTGCTACTGCAAGTACTACTACTGCACTATTGATTGAGTTGAACTATTTCGCCTAGTACTCCATTTCTGTTTATTGGTCCATCACTTACAGGCTCTCTGTAGATCAAAAAAAAATTTGAAACAAAACATTTCACCCCTCAATCAGTGCCTTACACTCATATTTCGGATATTTGAGCAGAAAGAAACGTAGTCAGATTCAACATAGAGCAGTAGGTTTAGTTAAAGTTTTTTTTTGTTATTATTTAAAGATTCGTTTGATACATTGATAGGGTTATGTGTTGCATTATTCCGTGAGCTGTCCGCATTCAATGTGGATGAACACATAACGTCGCTAGAAAAAGAGCAATAAAGCAGATATGTATGTAAAAATTTATTTTAATTTATTTTAATGAATAGTCAGGTCATAGTCACATCAAAGAAAATTAAGAGATATGTAGCAGAGAAGGGAGTATTTGAGTAACAAGTTGGTTTTTGTACTAAAATATTTTCATCATATATAGCAACGGGGGAAATATTTGACTAATATCTTAGTTTTTTGAAAAATATTTCAATGGCATATAGGAAAGGAGGGAAGCGTTTGACTAATATACTAATTTTTGTTCTAAAATATTTTCATGATATATGGCAAAGGGAGGAGCGTTTGGCTAATAAGCTTGTTTTTGTACTAAAATACATCTATGATATATAGCAAAGGGTTTTTGGAAGAACATAGCAAAACTAATAACTAAACTAAACTAATTAACTAATGCGCTAGTTTCTGTACTAAAACATTTTCATGATATATAGCAAGCGGGGAAGTATTTAACTAAGGTTGTATTTATTGGAAAAATTGCTTTATTTGTAAGTCTTGCATATACGTTTTGTACGTTTTGTATCTACGTACTGTACGCTTTATATGTACATTTTGTGCGTTTGGTAAGTCGATAACTATGTTTCACACGCCTTGTAGTTCTTTTATATCTTCTACGTTATATATATATATTTTGTACGTTTTTTATGTTCGCTTATGTACATTTTGTTTGTTTTCCATCTAGGATTTGTACGTCCTGTAGGTTGTGTACGTCTTGTAGGCTTTGTCCGTCTTGTAGGTTTTGTACGACTTGTATGCTTTGTAGGTACATTTTGTACATTTTATATGTTTGGTACGCGTTCTAAGCTTTGTACCTATTATATCTATCCTTTTTTATACGTTTTGTACGTTTTTTAGGTACGTTTTGTACGACTTGTACGTACGTTTTCCATGCACATTTTGTACATTTTATAAGCTTTACACGATTTGTAGGCTATGTACGTTTCGTACGACTTGTACGACGTTTTGTGCGATTAGTACGTTTTGAATATGTTCGATCTTTTGTATGCTTTGTGCGTTTTGCTCGACTTGTACGTTTTGTACGCTTTTTACGTTTTCTATGTACATTTCGTAGGTTTTGTACGTTTCGTACGTTTTATGTTTACGTCTGGTACGTACTTTTTGTACGTTGGATGTTTATGTTTGTTTGTTTCGTATGTTGGCTTCCTATGTTTGTTTGTTTGTTTCATGTGTTTATTTGTTTTGTTGAATCATTTCGAATATAGGGTTTCAAAAATAGAGTTCTTTCTTCCTGAAATCTCGATTGTCGCCTGCACCCTGCATATTCATTCAGTTAGGACATCTTAATATTGATATAATTTCCTGCATTAGCCTTCGTTTAACGCGCCACGTGGACGGATATGCTTTCGCGTAACAATATTGAACCAATAGTTAAAAAAATTGTGTCATAAAGCAAAATCGTTTTCTTCTTAGCATTGACTATTGAATAAAATTCAATTTGTAACATTAGCGACCAGGATTAGCTAAATAACTATAAATACACGCACACGCAAAAGCGTATGCATTCAAACGTTACGCGCGTATAGGTGCTGCATACGTATTTATTAAGTATATCTATGTACGTCTACAAATTGAAATTATCGTACATAATTTGTGTACCATAGAGCGTAGTCTGTAAACTCGTATATATATATATATATATGTATACAATGGCTTGGAATTTTTAATACACCACGAAGAAGCCACTTGACCCAATGTTGTTGGAAATCATAGCTCTAGCTAGTCGATTAATATTGTTACGTGTTCGTAGTGTTCGTATTGTATAGACATGCTCTGCTACTGTTAATGCTGCTGCTAATGCTACTGCTACTACGGCTGCTGCTGTTGCTGCTGCCTATGCAACTGCTTTTGCTGTTATTGCTACTGCAGTATAAAACGTATAAAAACATAACAGCACACACAAAGGCTTATGTGGCCCATAGCAGTTATAGCAGCCATAGCAACCGAACTTAGTGCAAACGTAACGTAATACAGATTCAATATCAGCATCGACAAAAGAAATGAAAAACGGTGGAGAGTTTGCAATCATTTGATTCTTCCTAAAAGGATTCGATGTTTTTAAACGATTTGCATTGCAACGAGCCAAACTTTCAATTGAGAATCAGTGTAATGGAAATTTTATGAACGCTTCAATCCATGATTGAAGTACGAAATAAGAGGCGCTCCTACATGTATATATATATATATATATATATATATATATGTGTATATGCATATATGCCCCAGTATATGCATAGTTCAAAGAATCTTTTGAGTGTGTTCGCACACAACCCCTTATACAAACCCAAACGCACACAACAATAGTTGTTGCATTGCAGCAGCAATTAAAGTGAGGATAAAATTTCAAAGTATAACGGTTGTGTGTTGCGGGCATGTTAACGAAGCGGGTTCACTACGTCGCTGTGTATGTTGTCAAGGTAATCAAATACTATACTAGTTGTTGCAGTTTAGACAAGCGAAATAATAAAAATCGAGGGAGAAAAAAAAAAAAAAAAAAGAAGAAAATTGTGAAATGAGAAATTCTTTTAATGCACGCAATCGAATGCAAAGGCAAACAAACACTGCTGCTGCTGCTGCTGCTGCTGCTTTATGCTTATATTGGCAACGTTAAGGTATCAAATCGAAACACTTAAAAAACGGTGTTTGGCATGAAAATGTGTACAATAAGCTCATTTTAATTAAAATTATTAATTGCTAAATAAACCAATAAAGAAAGAAAAACTCTACACAGTTTAAAACGAATCTCTTGATGCCCATCATCTCCGCTCAAAGTATAGTCGTACGTAAGTCGTTTGAAAGTTTCCGAAGTAGAAATGCCTCTTACTTATCAGTTCTATAGTTAATTCAATATTCAAAAAAAAAAAAAAAAGCTTTCATCAGACTTCTTCTTGACTTCTGACCGGCAATCGCGTGCATAAGGAAAAACTGATATTTAGTATCGAATCCTTTGCAAGAATTTCTTTACAGTTGAGTACGAGCATTGACTTGTAACTGTGGCGCAGTTACTAGTGCATGAAGATAAGTGTTACGTAACCGTAATCGTGCATTTTCGAGCTAACTTCTTCCGGTGTCTGTTACTTATACTACCAAAGTGAAGTTAGCAGATGTTGGAGCAGATTTAAAGTCGATGAATGAATATTCGGGGGTATACGAATCTTACTCGTTATCACTAAATGTACATGCGTGCCAGTTGGAATCAGCCAGAGTTTCATAATCACAATTGTACAACAATGTATGCATTTTCATATTAAAAAAGGAACCTGAGCTTGAATGGTGTTCATTACTAAGCTGGCGGCAAAAAACACTCTATGACCGATTCGATGGAACCAAATCATATTCTTGTCTATTAAGCACGGATCGGAAAAGCATACAGGGCTCATGCCCAGATGCTATAGACGAAACTGTGCAACTTTTCTGTTTGCCAACAACATTACAGAGCATGATCGATGCTAAGGGCGCCACCTTTCCTTAACTTTAGCCTGCGAGAACAATTCAAACCTTACTTTTCTTTAGCTAAGAGTGCAATTTTTCCACCGATTCAAAGTTTATACCTTTTTCGTACTGCAACATCAGCCGACAGCAGAGCAGAGAAGCAAGTTACGAAGGCCTGCTTCGAGTATTAAAAAAACGCGTTATGCATCTTATAACGTACTCATCATGTTCCAAAAATTCTTTAATAAAGTCGCATAACGTAAACCATACAGATTTATTTCCAACGAGTTGTGACGAAAAGTATTCTGTGAATAAAAAATTAAACAGTTCGTTTCATTCTCCAGCCATGCAGTTATGTCGCGGTGTCTAGTGAGAATGATGCGAAATATTTCATTCATTTTATTCATATAATACTTTCGTTTGTCACATAATTCTGTCGGTTACACTTGATAAAAAGCTAAACTATAAAAACTATAAAATATATTTTAAAAAAATGAGAAAAAAGAGAGAAATCATTAGAGAGATTATTTAAACTTTATAGCCCACAAGATGACGTTTTCCAATGCATTCGCCGACGTAAAACCAAAAGCACACTTCCATTGTCACTAATGTGTTAAGCCAGGCTTCGCGAACAGTTATATTCTTGAAAGAGCCATTTTTCGTATTCTTGATTATTTTTTTAAGGCTCTCTCGCATGGCAGAAATATCACCGATGGTGGGTGGAGCCAACTCGTCTTTAGCGTATTTACTGAAAGCACCAATTTTCGGCTTAACTTGTGTCCAAACGCGACTAATCATCGATTGGCCTTTGCTTCCCACGTTAGCCATTTTATTTTATTTATTTGTTTTTTTTTTCTTTTTTTTTCTTTTTTGTTTGGTTTTGATAAATTTAATTGGAAAATATACGTTTGTTCATCACTAAATTGTCGAAATACTGCACAGAAAAAAAATTCTATATGACACATGATTAGTGTCATTGGAGAACATTCATAATCATAGAAAAACATTTTTTTTTGTTAATCTCTTCAAATAAACATGAACGTCAATAAAACGTAGTGTTGTCTCTGGTTGCATAGGAAAAGTTATTGTGCATTATCATCCTCCTTTCCTAATGTCAATGTGGCTATTAAATAGAATAACTATTGCAGAGTGTTCAAGAAAACTATCGAGGGCTTAGGTTTTTTAAAGCATTGTCCTTTAACGTGACTAGCCTTTTCATTCGTATCGTATAGCTAAGTGACCGTTCATTCTCGCGGCGCCCTAATGTTGCTCGCCTTTCCTAGTCTTCCGATTCATATCCTCTACTGCTATGACTGCTCGTTCTTTCAGCACTTTGCACGCCTTCGATCAAAGAACTACAGTGGTTTTCTCGCCCTTCCAGGAGATCCCATTCTAAGTTCGAACGTACTAAAATATCACTCTATCCCTCTGCTTGTATTCTTTCCAGACCACCATCGCACCTCCAAGGATAGCTAAATACATATAAAAAAAAACCTGTTTACATAATCCAACTAATTTAACCAGTCGTCCCCTTTTGAAAATGTGCATTCAAAATGCATCGCAAAAATTTAGCTATGACGACTATATTCATCATACACGGAGTATGTGCAATGTGAAATTAGGTTGTAATGAAATGGCTTCAAAAAATGACACACACACACACACACACACACACTCACTCTAAAACTTATTATTATAGCAAATTCATAATGATTAAATTTTATGAGGAAATATGACAAGGAGGGATGGACGGACTATAACGTATACATTCGTCATCACATAAAATGTTACACTTTTTCCATGACATATACATACAGTTAATTTCTTATACATATGGTCTTTTGAATCCTGCGGACGAATGCTCACTTCACTTATTTTCTATACGATACGGCTACACGTGAGATTTACCTGTAAAAAGTGAAGTAAAAAATTTGATGCGGTTAGTTCCTAGACAAAATAAACTTAAGATTTAAAGGATACAGACTGAGAAACAGATATCAAAATGCATAAAGACGGACATTAACCGATGAATACGGAGCGTACCCTATGATTACGCTATGCACGCTGACCAAATGCTTTAAGGATATACCTTGTCGATCCCGAAGCGTTGTAAACATTTGACAAATCCAATCTATGCTCAGTAACGAGTACTAAAATCTTTGCGGTCTTTGCTATGCTGATTTGTAGAAGTGGGCTTAAGAACATCCTAGAAGCGGTGGGCAGTTTAATTAAGTGCCTCATCTACGCGAATGAAGGTAAGCGAATAGTTTCTTTAGACAAAGATAAATGTGTACTTAATGCTAATTGCGAGAAAATATATAGTGGAAGGTGCCGTGAATTTTCTAACTGAAAAACTTCGTTTTTATTTTTATGAAAACCCGAATTTCTCGCCTAATATCTCCAGCATCTATATGCAGTATGTATAGCGATTAAGTTTCTTATGGTGTGTTGCAATGTATAGTGATTAAGTTTCTTCTTCGTATGTTGGTTAAAATTCGCAAATTTCTTAAACTTTGTTTTCAGAATATTTTCGAAGATAAACAACGCTTTCATACACTTCACGTTAATTTTTATATGGATAGTGTGAGGAAATGACTATAAATGGGCGTGTGAATGGTTGTTCTTTTTTGTTTTTATTTTTATTTCAAACAAATTTAATTTCTTTGGTAATGTTAAGTTTTTCTGCTTTCTTTTATTTTTTAATTCATTTTGCTTAGAGAGATGGAGAGAGCTTCTACTGTTCGCAGTAAAATACATACGTGGAGATCTATTTTCTATAAACGTGTGTGTGTGTGTGTGTGTGTGTATTCTCTTTATATACGAAGAAGTGTTAAAAAGTTTTTGGTGTTTTTCAACTTTTGTGAAACCACTGTTGGATTCCTTGTGTGTTCAATTTGGGGAAAATGCACTAGAATCTAAATAATTGTAGAGCAGCGCGTTAAAATCGTTTAGCAATGAAAACTTTCTTAACCACATTGTGTTTTTTGAAGCTCTTGAGCGTTACGCGTTTTTTGGTATACCGCTAATATATACACATATATGTATATATATATATATGCACATACATATATGTACACACACACACACACACACACACACATACACACGTACATACATACATATAAATATATGTACGCGTATACCCATTTATAGAGAACCTGCAGGCATACTCGTATGCATTCCTGAGCATTAGTTAGCGCCATATACGCATATGTAAGTGCACAAAAACGTACTTATTTGCATATATACATACATACTTATATATACATATATATATATATATATATGTATGCGCACATATATTTAATACCACAATCTAAGAAATATAGAATTTGTTGTTATTCAAGCGTGTAAAAGCGAGAAGTATAACAAAGCAGTAAAAATAGGGGGCAAATTAGAAGATACTTGTGCTTTTAATTACAGCAACCGCATGAATGCTATTTCTGCTTAACAAAAATTTGCAAAAAACAACAAAAAAAATGAAAAAAAAAAGAAGCAAATTTACTCAAATGCCAAGCAAAAGCGTTGGTATGTGAGAGCGCATTACAATTATTCAAACAATAAACCAACGTTCTAGCAGTAAAATTATATTCCGCCACCATTAACTATTACCCGAACGCCCCGCCTTTCTATTCATATAATGAACCTCACTGATTTAGCATCAGTTTTATATGCATATGTTCTTCTGTGCTACTATGTGTGTAAATTGCTTATGTTTTTAAGTGATATATGTATATAGATAGAAAGATATATATATATGTATATATATATATGTGTATATGTTTAATGCATACATTTATATATAAAGTATAAAGTATATAAACGCTGATTACCCACTTGTGTAATTACAAAGCTTACAAAGTTATTGGATTAATTGATTTCACATACATAAATAAACGATGAACAATGCTTGTATGTATGTATGTACATACATATATACATATATACATATATATGTGCGTGCATACATAATTATTTGCTTGTTTATACATATGTATTAATTATTATTTGTTTTCATTTTCATTTTGTTAGTTTTCCTTACCAAGTAGATATTTCATAGTATAGCTAAGTAAAACGGTGAAATGGTTCGCAATTAAATTCTAATATGCCTTCCGACTTCCTATCATACCATAGGCACTACCCATCTCATGGATGTCAAATAGGAGAGATGGGTTACACTAGACCAACAATCTATTTCGAACAATTGCAGGTGCAACGTTACGAAGAAGAACTGCATTTTTTGATTGGTGAAATATTTGCGAATCGTTTAAGATTGATAATAAGGCTTTTACTTATTTTATTTGTTGTAGGAAAACAAATGAACAGCCAAATTCATTTGACTCTCAGAAGGAAATCTTATATTATTAAAAACTCTAATAAAGTATATAAGGAGATGTAAGGGAAAAAAAAATTGTAATAATTATTGAATAATAATTTATGTAGAAATAAATAAGAAAAAAAAAAAACAAAAAGAAAGCGTGTACACATCTAGCACAGAGGCACACCCACAACTAGTACAAAATCAACAAATTGAAAGTGAACCTCTAAGCCATCGCAAGCATGCAAAAGCTTGGTAACCGATATGGTAAACAACACCAATCAATTTTCGAATCATAATGAGATGTTAAGGTTTTAAGTGAGTTTATATAAGACATAGGAATATCGCGCCTATTAAGCAAAATTGGTTTGGTAGACTTCATGGAATCCGATATTGAGATTAAGTTATAGACATCGTTTAGGTTTCTGCAAACAACTCTAAACGGGTTAAACAGCTCATAACTATATTTACATTAATTCGTCTTCGTTAAGGAACATGAAGCGCCTGGAATAGCAATTAGGGCTTAAGCGGTCCAAAGCGATATTTTATTTATAGATCCTTTTACATGCGTTTCTAGATGCTTGACATATGGTACGCGCAGCTCGCAGCTTAATATGTTGGGTGATAATCTAAAATATATTTTATTGCATTATGCGAGATTAAGAACTCAAACAATGGGCTTAAGATAGAAAAATAGATTGGCGAGCAGACGTATTACAGGAAAAGCGAAATTGTCAACAGACGACTGTTTGACTAAATGGAATGATTGATGAAAAGATGATTTAATATGAACACAGATAGCCAGACAGACAGACAGACAGATCGATCGAAGAGAAGAGCGGCTATCATAGAGACGCACTACGAGGGAGACCGAGGGTGCTGGGCGGACGTTCAGGGAGCAAATTAGCAGGCGAATGAAGCTAGGATGAAAAGATGGGCCGCACTATAATGTATGCTTATCGATTGAGCACACACCCACTGAGCACTGACCATCATCGCTCCCCTATTTCTTTCTCATTTCTCTTTTTTTCAGTCACCGTGTTTGGTCACATTACAAAAAAAAGAAGCGGAGAGAAAAACGAACGCATCGAATCGGGAAGGTAGACAGACAGATTAACGAAAGATGAGTTCTGAAGCAAAGAGAACCTTCTTAAAGCATCACTTTCTAGAAACGTCACCTATTGATGGCTTCCTGATCATCGAAAATTAAGCTCGAAATGAACGCTCGTATTTTTGAGTAGCAAATTACATATGCATCCTTCGTCCTGATCTATTACGGCTTCACCTCTAACTATTCGCAAAATACATTTGTAGATCAAAGGAAATCATTGTACTGGCAATAAGATCAGCGAGGAGGTTTGTATCTGTGCAAAGAAAGGACTAACTCGGCAACCAGATCTTTGATTGCAGTCAGTGAAAAATATACCTTTCCAACCCAAACATTTACCAATACATGACACTGCTTTTATCAAAAAGTTCTGTTTACCCTAAAACGCATTTTGTATTTATC